CGACCATTTTGTTAACCTGATCAAAATTTTGAAAATGCATAACTTATATAACTAGGACCTATGAAAATCAAAGAATGAAATTGTATAATGATTTACTTCTGTTACTTTTATTGTGATAACATTACTGAACTGTAAACATTCAAGTTGGCTGTCCGGGGCCAATTCGGGTTTATTTCTTATCAGTCCAATTATGCATAAGTAGGGACCACGAGGTGAAATTTAAAACAGATCTGTCCAGATCTTTCTAAGAATTTATAACCCTCAAAGTACAACATGGCCGCCTGTCGGCAATCCTGGTCATTTTATACGTTCCAAAATGCAATATGCATACATTTGTAACTAGGGATTATGGGAACCTACATGTGAAATTTGAAAAGAGCCTGTACACCATCTTGTTCGTCCGAACAGTTCCAAAATCTGATATTCGTGACTAGAGTCCATGGAAAACCATCATGTGAATTTGAGAAAGTTCTCTCCAGTACTTTCTGACGAAATATTGATAACAAGGATTGTTTAAGGAAAGATGGACGGAAAGACGGACGGATGGACGGAAAGACGGACGGATGGACGGTGGTAAGTACAGAGGTGGAAAACTATATAGGGTACTAATCATTTCAATAACAATTCACCAAATCCACCTTATATTTAAAAGAAGTTGTCCATATTTGCAAAAAAAAGGAACATATTACTTTCCTGAAAATGGTCGAAACGAAAATTAGGGCAGGTGCACAATTTTAGGTGTTTAACATTTTATTTGGAAAGTTTCATTGAAGTCATTGAAGGTACAGGAGATAATCTCTGGACAAGACTTTTACAAAAAAGACATAAACCGCACTGAAGAAATAGCTGTGAACAAACGGCTTAAAGTGCATCCAACATCTCGGAGGCCGTAATATCAATAGCTTTAGATGGATGACAGATTGACATTATGGAAAGTTACTGTTGTAAGATGATGGTTTAAAAGTCAAGGTTGTGATGTAACTTACCCATGTTGGTCTACAACTTCTTCAAACTGGTTGGCATTGATTTTGTCCATCGATAAACACCCACACCTTTCATATTCTGAAATACATCCATAAGAACAAAATAACAGATAACAGTCTATCACAGGTTCTAAAATACATCCACAAGTACAGAACAACAGTCTGTCAACATTCCCTGCAGTAAAAACAGAATTCAGACAACAGTCTGTCACAGGTTCTAAAATACATACATAAAAACAGAATTACAGGAAACAGTGTGTCAATATGTTCTGCAGTAAAACAAGAAGTTCAGAGTTAAAGAAAACTTATTTCAATAAGCTAGGCACTTTTAGTTCAGATTCTAGATTTATCCCTTAGAGGATAAAATCATGAATTAAATTAAATGGATTACCGAAGTGATTGTAGTGATGTAACTAGTGCCAAGAGGATCATAGGTACTGGAAATATCTTATAGTACTTTATTAATATGCTACAACTTAATATGAAAATATTTGTCATATATTTGATTTATACTTGATATTTCATAGATTGTTCTGCAACATATTTCTGTTTTATGTAATAGTCATGTATTGTCAATAAACCTGTCTTCTCTTGCCAAGCTCTACATTTTATGTCGGTAAACATTACACGATGAGGTCCTATAGTGCTCTTGCATTATTGCAGTGTTGAGGTAACTAGGTCTTAATGTATCCAGTGACCTATTTATTTCCCTTTTTAACTATCACAGTTTTGTTAACCCATTCCCTCTGTCTCCATTTTGAGGAGGGGCTCCTTCAGTTTTGAATGAAGGCAAAAAGTACCTTTGAATTGTGCTCCATGCGACCATGCAGGGTTGCATAAAACGTTGTATTGTTCTTCAAATTTTCCAAATATGCTAACAATTAACTGCGTTCGTTCTTTTAGGCTTTGGTTTTTGTCGAGTTTCATGAAACATTTTAAGGCGTGACATCTGCCTCCACGCCTGTGTCTAGCTTGAATATAACAGTGTTGCTAGTGTTCAAACCTGTAACACAGGAACTAGCTTTGCTATTTGTCTTATGTAACTGTCCATTAAGAAGATCTCACTGTGCATATGGCTTTAATGTAAATGCATTTAATTATTTCATGGTTAACGTTTTGGATAAAGCGTTGGGATTATTTTTATCATGGAATTAATATTTCAAAAGAGAGTATTAACACATTACTACTCTGGTAAATAGGACAATTTTACTGACAGACATAAAACAAAACACATAGAAATAAGTGCTAATCAGTCTATATATATATAAGATGCATTTGGCATCAGCAATACTTTTTCTTAGTTAAAGCAGCACAAATCGGAACAAGGGAACATATTGTAATAGGCAGTTTATCATAATAAGTGGGTTCCACTGTATTGTATTAAACAATCTAGCTGTATTCGATAGTGTTTATGGTGTCTGAACCGGAATTAAGATGTTCTGTAACCGTCAGACATGGAAAGATGTGGAAACATGGGGCGATATCAATAAAGATTGATATTGTAATAATTGAAATATAAATGCAATATTATCAGGAATTCTTTTTTAACGATAATAGTGAACAGTTTATTACGACAATAATGTTAACTTTGGAACAATTTCCGGCACCATGTTGCTAGGACGGTATACTCAGATTTGGACACTTCTTCAATGGAGGCACGGGGAAATCAACTCGAAATGTTATAGGGAAACTTTTGTTTAAATGATTAAATCACACCACTGAAGCAATATTTTCATTGTCATGATGTGCATGCATGACTTGTGAAGGTAACTTTGAATAGATATAAAATACATTTTTATTAGAATTTGTGCTAGAAAATGTCAGGAGGCCTAATCATTTCCAGTTGATACACAATAATAGAGTGTTTTTAAGATAGCACTTAACTACTGCACATGCTTTGTTTAACTATCATAACAAGTGTTTTCAACTGTATAATCAAAAGGGTATTTCAAGGCAACACAACTAACAATTATTTGAAAGTGGATTTGTATGCATGTTACATATCCATGCAGGTAAATATGAAATAAAAATAAACTAAATCCAATGTTAAACAAAATGTAATCTATTTATATATATAAACTGAACCATTTCCGAAAATTATTCAGCACAAACATTATTTGTTCCTTTTTCAGTCGCAGATATATACAAATACTTGAGACAAGCAGGGTTGAAAAGTGTCGGATTCAATTGCCTTTACATGATCGGCATTTTATTTTTGTTTTTAATTCTATCAGCCAGTTTTTTATGACTCTAGGCCTTTCAGTTTTTCAAAAGAAGTCAGTGTTTGAAAGATTTAACCCCTGTGGTCTGGGAAAGAGGTCAAAGTCATCTTTTTGTTAACATTTCTGGATCCATTCAACGAAGTATTAACCAAATATCATGAATCTAGGTCTTTCACATCTTCAGAAAAAGTAATTTAAAGGTTTTGATATATCAGTCCCCTGTGACCTTGAAGATACGTCAAGGTCTCTTTTTGTTGTCGGAATCCATCCCATGAAGCTACCAGCTGAGTAAGATGACTATAGGCTTTCAACTTTTCAGAAGAAGTGGTTTAAAGGAAAAGTTGACAGAAGATGGAGAGACGATGTGATGACAGATGCCATGTCATGGCAAAAGTTTTGTGCGACTTACCCTTAAGGCAGGTGAGCTAAAAATGGTACCAAAAACTAAAAAAGATAGGTCAGCTAGGGTCCATCCTTATTCCCTTCTACTTAGTCTTGTTTTAGTAACAATTATGTTGACCTTCAAAAACTTTTTAAACACCTTTGTCACATCTTCATATCTCAGTGTATCATGTCAAGTTAAAAAGGAAAACTTGCACCAGACAATGATTAATACAGGGCACTTACATCTCCAATGTGGCCCCTAATAGACTTACCAGTATTGGTATTATTCCATGCAGCAATTATAATATTCTTTAGGGATTTAAAAGATTCTGGTGTGACCTTCGTTTTCATGGTAATAGTAAATCTGTCTCTGAAGTCGTAGACAAGCTCTGATTTCTTAAGGACATTGTAGAGAACACCATGTGGTCCCTGGTATCCAGCAAGGGAAATGTTTCCTGATGACAAACTGGATGCTCGGACAGTTTTTCCATCCACATTGACAAAATACACCACTTTCCAGCCTCGGGTCCTATGTCACAAAGTCAAGTAAATTTAACTTAATGAGGGTACAAAACATGATGTTTAGTAATACAAGAAATGGCTAAGTAGCCTGATAAAGCTTCTA